ATCAATCCTCCAGCCTCTGCAGGGCAGCAGGCAGACTCCCTCAGTAAGGGGTTGAGGGCAGTGGGTGGGGGCATTCACAGCCTGCTGCATGGAGCACATTTCAGGGGTCCACTCTCATTCCTGGGGACACCGACAGGCCTCACAGAGGCGGACTATGAGTGCTGGCATCTGACGACGGCAGCCTTCCCCTCCTCCACTGCCTCATGGCTGCCTTCCCTAGGGCCCATCATGATTTGAGATCTAAACACTGAGGAAAGGGGGGACATGCAAAGAAACCACTCCTGGTTGTTTCCTTTGCTGGAAAGTGTAATTGGCATGGCTGGGCGGGAAGTGCACCAGCCCCCAGTGTCCCCAACCCCGAGCTCCCTGGGAGATGAAAGCAGACCCTGGCAGCTGGGGGCCTCCCTAACTGTCTGCCTCTAGCACACCAGGCCAAACGTCCTCAGTGCTGCGTGACAGCTCAGCAGCCCTGGGACATCCGCACACAAACCTGCTAGTACATGTGCACACACGCGTAGGCACACATGTGCACAGGGCTGATCTCCCCTACGACCTCCCCAGATTCCAAGGGAGCCCTATGCTCAGAACTCAGGGGCCTGAGGAAGTAACCACTGCTCTTCTGGACCAGCCGTCAGATCTGCAAATAAGTCCGAACTTTGCACTCCCACAAGCCGACAGGAGAATGTGCTCAAAGCCTCAACAAGAAGCATGGTTGTTCCTTCTAGTTTGCGCTCCCTCCTCCCTCCCTCCCTCCCTCCCTCCCTCTGTGGGCCAGCAGGTGGCGCAGTAGCTAAGGTGCTGGACACCTACATGGTCAACCACAGTTCCAGTACCGGACCTGGCAGCTTGAAAATCACCCAGGGTATGTGGGCATGTGCCCTCAAAATCCCAAGAGAATAAAGGGATTGTGGTGTGGCCCTCTCCCCTATGGGGTGATCTTTCTGTCTCTCTGGTGAGCACACACATGCACACTATGACAAAAACCTTTAAAAAGAAAAAGATAGCATCGAAATTGAAATCATACTTGCTCTTGACCTCGGCAGGTCATGGGGACACTTCCCATCACCAGAGCTCCTGAGACGCGCCAGGTACAAGCACTGTCAATGCAACATGTTTGTCACCGTCTGGGATGAGAGATGACCCCCACGCCTGCCAGGAGGGACTGGGCAAGCTGGTGACAGCACCTCTAGCAACAGCAGGCCCAGCAGCTGTTAGAAAGGAGCAGAGAGACAGAACCAAGGGAGATTTCCAAATATATTAGGCCACAGAGAAAAAGGGGCCTAAGCATGAATACTATGCTGCTCCTGGTTAAAAATAAATGGGAGAGGGTGGGACAGGGATTAAGCCGTAAATGCAAGATTTTCTTCTTCAAAAATAGATCTGAAAGAAATAGTATTTATTACCTACTATTAGCACCTGTAAATAAATTCTGGGTGGTGAGTTCGCAGTGATTGTTCAAGTTTTCTGTTCCAAAAATCGTGTTTGAAATACAACATTTGGGACCAGCAGTTAGCGTAATGGCTATGTCGCTGGACTCCCATGTAGTCGACCGCAGTTTGCATCCCGGACCAGGTGGCTTAAAACTCACACTGGGCGCGTGTGTGTGCGTGCCCAAGATCCCGAGAGGAGAATGGAGGAGAAGGGATTGCGGCGTGGCCATCCCCCCTGGGGGGTGATTTCTCGCTTTCTGTCTCTCTGTCTCTCTCTGTCTGGCAAGCGCACGCGCCCTATAGCAAAAATCTCTTAAAAAAAAAAAAAAAGAAATACTTACAAAATTTAAGTGGGAAGTTTTTAATTTATCATTATTATTTTTTAGGTTTTTGCCATAATGTATGTGCGCTTGCTAGAGAGACAGAGAAGGAAAGTGAGAAATCTCCCCCCAGGGGGATAGCCATGCTGCAATCCCTTCTCCTCTATCTTCCTCTCAGGATTTTGGGCATGCATGCACATGCGCCCATGAAGATTTTCAGACTGCTGGATCAGGACTTGAACTATGTATGGTCAACAATGTGGGAATCCAGGGCCTTAACCACCATGCCACCTACTGGCTCCAAATGGGGAGATATTTGATATAAATGCATTTATTCTTGTAGAGAATGACTAATACTTTGATAGTCTCACACAACCAGGCTTTTAACTCCCAAATTCTCACAGTAACCCCGTGAGGGAGGTACTCTCATGACTCCCCCTTTATAAAGGGGAAAATGAGGTACATACAGGATTCACTTGAAGCATAGAAATAGAGAGTCAGGATTTGAACCCAGCCAGCCCAGCACCGAGGTCTGTGCTCACAACCACCACACTATGCTGAAGGGTACTATGAGGCACTCAGGGAGCTGGCCTCTGGGGCGTTGGCGGGTCTGGAGTGAAGCGAAGTCCTCTCTCTCTCTCTTTGCCAGAGGGTGCGTGCCCTCCTTGGAGAAAGAATCAGAGGGAAAAAAATGAGAAAGCATCTCTCCCCACCATGAGGCATGGTCACACTACAACCCTTTCTCCTCCACCTTTCCCTCCTTTGGGGATTTTGAGCAGGTGTCCCCGACATGTTTCTCAAGCTACCAGATCCAGCACTCAGACTGCGTGGTTGGCCATGTGGGATCCAGCCACCTTAACTAGTAGCAGCCCACAGGCTGGCCCAGGTTGACTTTTCACTATATATACCATTTTGCATCTTTCAGGTGTGCATGTTGCTTTTTTTTTTTTTTTTTAAAAGAGTTAGGTCCAGGACTCAAACCATGGTTGGCCATGTGGGAGTATCCAGTGCCTTAACTATCACATCACCTGTTGCCCCCGCATGTTACTTTTAAAAAATTTATTATATTATTATTATTTTTTAAAATTTGGTATAGGGTACATGTGCTCACCAGAGAGACAGAAGTAGGAGAAAAGTGAGATAGCAAGCCACGAGGTCTGGAACTTGAACCATGGTTGACCATGTGGGAGTCCAGCACCTTAAACACCAAGCCACCTGCGGGCCCCAATACATTATTATTACCATTATTTGTGAGCGCTTTTTGCTCTAAGGCGTGTGCACTCACCAGAGAGACAGGAAGTGAGAAATCACCCCCCCCCCCAAAGGGGGATATCACGCTGCAATTCCCTCTCCTCCATTCTTGACCTGGGACTTCAGGCATACAGACACACGAGCCCAGCGTTGAGTTTCAAACCTCCCAATTCCCTCTCCTCCATTCTTGACCTGGGACCCCAGGCATACAGACACACGAGCCCAGCGTGAGTTCCAAACCTCCGGGTCCAGGACTCGAACCACAGTCGACTACATGGGAGTCCAGTGATGTAACCATTACGCCATCTGCTGGTCACACACATTATTTTTAAAAACAATCTAGAATGTGAATCCCAGTTACCAAGAAAGAAGAATCCTGACAAGTGCGAGGTTGTCAAAGGCAGCAGGGGACATCCTCTCAGTGACAGGAACTACCCTAAAACACCAGCGGCCCCACTCCCAGCTCTCCTCTGGCTGCAGCAGTTCTGGGTCTGGGAGCCATTACTTCGCCTACTCACTGCCTCTCCCTCCTGCATTCTGACACAGACTCCACCCCCTTGTCATAAGGTTGGACATGTGACCTCAGCTGGGCCATGGTGATTGGTCCAGGAATGGGTACCAGATTTAAGCCCAGCCAATCAGAATCTTTCCTTAGCTTTCCTCTAATGGAAGATGGCTTTCCTGCTGGTTGTGGGGCTCAGGGGCCCCTGAAAAGGAAAAACACAGGAGGCACAGGAACTGGTCTCAGCTTTGTTCCCTGGCAAACGCTGTCACCACAAAGCCAGCTAGCTCCTGCCACCTCAGTTTGAGTTGGATTCTCGGGAAGCATAGCCCACACAGTCCGTATTCCTTGAAACTCTCTTCAAATTATCCAAGTTGTACACGTCATCTATTTTTTCACAAGGACCCCAACTTGCTGACGGCTGTCCTTTTCCCCATCTCTCCAGGTACCGGCTAAACAAAATCCTCCCCAAGCAGATGACCTTGTCCCAGGGTCTCCACTCTGGTGACCCCCATCCCCATTTCCTTCCAAGTTTCTGTACCCCAACAGATCTCTCCAAAAGTCTGTCAAACTCCAAATCCCAAGAAAGGACCTCTGAGGAAAGGCAAGTGGCTATTGCGTGTGAGGGACATCGGGCCCCCAGAGGAGGCAGGAAGGGTCCCATGTGGGCTCAGAAAGCAGCCAGCAAAGCAAACCACTGGCTTCTGCATGCTGGAACGGGTACCTGAGAGCACGTGTTTATAGAAAGACACACAGGAAGGGGCAGGTGGCACCTATCTATAGAGACAGAAAGCTCCATAAGAGATCCACGTAGGTACGTATGTATTTGCCAATATAAAACAAGGTTTCCATATCGTCAGTCACAACCAACACCACACAATTGCCCGGTCTTAGAAAACCATGCTTGTTTCTGTGGTTGGTTCCCTCTCCAGCGGTTTCCAGAATGAGAAGGCTGGTTTCGGGGCCAGTCTTTAAATATGTGTGTGTGTTTCTTTCTAGAGAGAAGGAGGAGCGAAGGAAGGAAGAGGAGGGTCATTTCACGTTGTGTGTGGTAAAGAGGGGCCTGGTTTGGGGTGAGGATGTGATCCCACTGGAAAGGCTTGAAAGGGAACTCCAGAAAGGATGGCAAAGGTCTCTAAGTCGGGCCATACAAACACAACGGGAAGGAGGTCGCACGTTCGCGGTCCGCTGAAACCCCTTATAGCACATTACAATCAGTCAAGGGCAAAATAAAATCAGAATTATACTAAGAGGTAGCAGCTGTTTATCTTCTTGGAGATCCCAAGGGTCCCTGGAAGCCGGGCCAGGTAAGGAATTCTCCTGGAAGAGACGGGGGTGGGCAGAGTTTTGGCCGAGGGCTCCTGGGCGCTGGGAAGGGTGTGGGCTGATGCGCTTGGACACTGCCGCTCCCAAGTCCCCAGGGAACCTCTGCCATGTATAGGCCACTTCCAACCCCAGAGTCAGTTCTTGGGTAAGTTATGCAGTCCCCACAACATATAAATAAAAGTTTAGTTTCTGTTTCCATATATCTTCTACATGAAGGCTAGCTAAATATTAGTGGAGTAACAATAATTATTAATAACAATAATCGTCATAATAACAATAATTAATAGAATAATGATGCCTGGGGGCGTCGGGGGTGGGGGTCCTTCATCTGGCAGGGTGGGGTCCTGGGGAGGGGCTCTATGTCTGGTAAAAGTGGTGGTAATGGTGGTGATGTTTATGGTGGTGGTGGTGCTCGTGTCTCTGGACCGCCTGCCCGGCCTGGCTCTCGTACACCACCATGGCGGGCAGCTCCCTCACGTGCTCCCGCCCCACGACGACGCTGCCCGGGGCCAGCGGTGCCTGCAGACCCCGACAGCCCTGCTGGCTCTCCTTGGCTCGGTGCTTGTGCTTCTTGTGCCCGAGGGGTGCCAGGGTGGGAAGGAGGGCTGGGCTGGCGGCCAGGTGGGCGGAGGGGGACACCGCAGGGACGCTGGGTCCCAGTGGGGGCTTGCTTCTTGCCCCTCGGGCCACGTGGCCCACACCCACACTCTTGCCCTGGGCCTTGGGGGACCTCACAAAGTGCTTGGTCCCATCCTGGATGCCCCGGAGCCGCTGCTGGAGCTCTGAGACCTTGGCGATCGGGGTGTCAAGGAAATGGAAGGAGCCCGGGTCCGCGCCTTGGGGCTTTCGGTGTGGGACGTGGATGGCTTCTGGCTCATGGGAGCGAGACCGAGTGGGGTTGGAGGTGCGGGGGGGCAGTTCTGACTTCTGGGCCACTGAAGGGGAGCCTGGGAACCAATGCAACAAACATTTAGTAAGCACTGACTGCATGCTGCGGCTGCTCTGTGCCCAGAAACCAGCCTGCCCTGCCCCAGTTCCCCGAGACTGCTAAAATGCCAGGTGTTCATCATGGCTGCCTCCACCCCATCCCCACGGGCCCCCACTGCCTTGGAAGAAATCGCTCTGCAATGGAACGTTCCCATCCACTCAGTGGACAGAGACCCTGACAACCATCTAAGGTCAAGGTCGGAGGGGCAAAAAAGAGTTCTAATTACTGAAAATGCACAGAGAAAACCAACCCCTAGAGGAATGAAGTGTGTGTGTGTGTATGTATGTGTGTACATATATATAAATATATATATATATCCACACATAGAGAGAGAGAGAAATTTTGCTATAAGGCACGTGTGCTCACCAGAGACACACACACACAGAGAGAAAGCGAGAAATCATCCCAAGAGGAAATGACTATGCCCCAATCCCTTCTCCTCCATTCCCCTCTTAAGATCTTGGGCACACATGCATGTATGTCTAGTGTGAGTTTCAAGCTGCCTGGTCTGGGACTTGAACTGCAGATGACCATGTGGAAGTCGAGCATCTCAACCACTATGCCACCTGCTAGCCCCGAGGAATGAAGTATATCAGGAGGAAGGGAGTTGGGAGGAGTGAAGTGAAGCTGGAGGTTGACAGGTGTGAAAGGCTGGCACGAGGGGCTAGTCACATTTTAGAGCCACGTTCTGCCAGGTCCATGCCAGCAAAAATAATCTGGAGAGGTCTAAGCAGTTGTCTTGGGAACAGGGTTAGGGGTGGGTTGGAACTGGGGACATGGAGTTACTGCTTTTCATTATATTCAATGCCTTTCAGTACTATGGGGTTGTCGAAAAAGTCATGACATATTTTCCTATGTTTTTCTTTGCAAAAACGCATCATGACTTTTCTGATTGACCCAATAGTTGCTTTTGTTCAACTTTGTGCATGGATTACTTCAGTTTAGAAAATGTTTTAATGTCACTTCCTCCAAGAAGACTCTTGGGCCTGTCCAGTCAAAGCTTGATGCTACCCCAGCCCAGGGGAAACAGTGAACACCACCCTGCACGGCCCACCTAGCCCTCGCAGTCACACTCTCCCCTCACCCAGCCTCACCGGGAACCGGAGTCCCTTACCAGGCCCAAACTGGGACGTGTAGTTTTCTATCCCGGCGAGATCTAAGTAGTGGTTTCTCCTCTCGATGTTTTCATCCACGCAATGGTGGTAGCAGCCAGACTGCTCCAGACGGCTGTCACCCTGGAACCTACAGCAGGGAAAGGAAGTGAGCATGTGGCCACTGGCCACCGGGACAGGTCCTTCTTGGCCTTTGTCCATTTCCGTCTTGGTTTTGGGACATCTTTCTAATCTGTGCCTCTATTTCCTTCCCTGCTGAAAGGGGACAGACAAGTGCCCAGCCTCTCTGGGACATCTGGAAAGA